TCTCGTCACTGAAAAAAATTCTCGACGTTTCTACCAAGAACCGTTGGTACCTTTACCATCTCACTTTTTTACCAATTATTGGTAATTTTACCAAGACAGACTGGTAAGCTTACCTCAAAACCGGTATTTTTACTGTTTTTTTCAGGTAAGAATACCACTTTTATTGGTAATCAATTCCCGGTAACTTTGCCATTTTATCTCGGTAATTCTACCACAGTCGATAAAAAATATTGGCGTTTTTACCGAGGTCCACTAAAATTACCGAGAAAGTTCAATAATTTTACCGAGATTTCTAGATAAAAGTGCCAATTCCATAAATGGTAATTTTACCAAGAAAAAACGTGGATCAAATAGAACCCTGAATTCTTGGTAATTTTACCCTTTTCTTAGTAAATACACCGAGATTTTTTTTTTTCAGTGTATAGAAAAAACTTGACAACGCCATAGCGGCAACTTCCCGGCAGAATCTTCCACTCCTTCTTCGCGGTCTCTCTCTGTCCTTTCGAGGGCCCTACGTCAACCACTCGCCTCTTGAGCATCTCATTAAAACAAACAGAAGCTCATGTTCGCCTCCAGGTCCGTTTTGTCAACTTTTCTCCCGGTTTTAGGGCCTATCGGCGTTGTCACAAGTCCGGGGCGCTCGACCGATTCCCGGATATTTCCAGCCGGAATTCTGCCTCGCTAAGGAAAAACGCCCTATGAGCAACCAAACGTTGTCAAATTTTGTCCAATGAGAGTAATATTTATCCAGATCAATTACAGAAATTTTACTTTGGAATTTTTAGGAATATTCCCTTTAATTTAGAATAAAATCCTCTTCAAAATTCAAAGAAAAACATTTGTAAGTTTCTCAGGAAATTTGGGATTTATCACGGAAAATTCGATAACTTCCGGATGTTCATGCGGCGGTTTAGCTTAGAGTGGTAGAATTTCTCCGGCGCTGAGATCTGGCAACCTCGGGACTCGCGGCTGAGTGGAGGAGCAACGAGCAGTTTAACGAGGGAAAACTATAAATGTTTGAAATGCGCAGGGCGGAAAAGCATGTTCACCCTGGCTTGGTTTTGTTAAGAGGTCCCGTCGGGGAAGATGCGGACTGACAGGGTTCAATCACACTCGGTTGAAACATTCGTGTTCGATAAAACTACATTCCTTACGGTTAGGTATTTTTTTTGTTACTTTGTCATTTTTGCTTTTTTTCACAGAAATAATTAGCGAGAAAGACAGCCCACACAGTAATAAAGTAGACAATAATAAAACAATTTATACAACGGGTGACAAGGCTAATTTTCACGAATATAACCAAAACGTCTCGGCTGAAAACTCAGCCTTCCTCAGTTGGATAAAACAGTAAAAACATATTTTTTTTTTATATTTTTTTTTTACTGTTTTATCCAACTGAGGGAGGCTGAGTTTTCAGCCGAAACATTTTGGTTGCCGGCCAGGTTGGCCTAGTGGTTAGCGCGTCTGACTCTAGGTCAATAGGTCCCGGGTTCGAATCCCGGTGGTGGCGACAAATTTTCATGGAACTGACGAGTGGATCTGTAAGCAGAATTCGCTCGGCCTTAATCCGTGAAAATTTGTAAGCCCGAGCACGGATGTCTACCAAACTCCCTGATGTCTTCGGACAATAAATAGTGCCTATAGATGGCTGTAGATTCCTAAAGGAATAGAAGCCACTAAACTCTCAATAAAAAAAAAAAAAAAAAAAAAAAAAAAAAAAAAAAACACATTTTGGTTATATTCGTGAAAATTAGCCTTGTTACCAGCTTTGTAAATTGTTTTATTATTGTATATCTTGGCACGGGCTGCGGAGCATCAATCATTTTTCAAGAAGGAAAGTAGGCATCTGTAAACGATGAGTGCACAGATGGGTTTCTGGATTTTTGATCACGCCTTCTCATTTGTTTGCTTCGTTGGTAGCTAAATACTTTAAAGTCATGTTAGGCTACGCTCGGCAAGTCCGCCACATCCCATCTCGGGTCTTAGGCCAGTTTTCAGGCCCGAGCCCCATGACTTCCACGAACTCCCCCCACCAAATTCGCGTTTACAAACATAGGCGGTTCTAGACCTTCATGCTTGGGGGTGCCCTGAGGTGGAAAATGTCGGAGACCGATTCCGAAGGGGACGGTCGCTCAGGGGAGGCCCAAGTTTCGGCCCTCAAGTTTTATCCCTTCCCTACCCTCCTTTCTCTTTTTCCCCCTTTCCTCTCTACTTAAATACCTATAAATTCAATGTAGAAAATTTGTAGCAAAACTTTCCATCAAAACTACAATCTTACCGCAAAAAAAAAACAGTAGAATCTTTGTAAAACACGGCTAACAATATTAATTCTGTTGAAAACATTTTCAATTGATTGCTGGGATTTTTACTCAGTGTGAGCGAATATATAGAGTCTTTAAAAGCAGTAATTTCACGGTTCCGATAACCGTACTTAATTTTTGCTTGGGGGTGCCCGGCACCCACTGGCACCCCCGTAGAACCGCCTATGTTTACAAATACATGTCGATGTTGAAAACACCAAACCACGTACCATACGTGGATCTAGACACCTCGAAGGGGATACTTCGACACTTTTTTCTGTCTCACGATATTTTTTTAAAATATACGCCAAAAATTCGAGCAGCCTCCTCTTGAAAAAAGAAAATATGAGCGTAATTTTATAATTTCACAAGAGCCACTAGTTTCTCACGAAGATCGTATCGGAAAATTGGAAATCTCCTAAAGTCTCACAATTTTCCTCTGCGAACGGCAATGCTGTTTCCCACGCTTACTGAGGCATATTTTTTTCCGCGCTGAGTGTGATACAATCAAATATCATATTGCAGGATCAGCCTAGGTTGGAATTAAGACCAACAGATGTCCAATAATGTTTGCCAATTCACAGCAAATACTTGAATTTCTTGACGAACCCGATTAAAACGATTCTCGTTTTCCAGAATAATTGGCAACATTTTTTCCCGATGTAGATCAAGCGGATCAAGTCGCCCAAAATTATGAATTGTTTTAATTAAAAAATAAATTAATGAAACGACGGGGGTTGGGGAGGCACAGGACCTGGAAGGACAGAACGCGGTTTGAATTGAAAATGAGAGGGGAGAGTTCTTTGACCGCGGGGCCATTTTTCAATATCAGGGCAAGCATGAATTGGGGTTAACTTCTTTTAGAAACTAATTTCAAGAAAAAAAATTATAATGAATGATAATCGTGAGAAAGATCAATCAAGCTGCAATCTAACCCTCATATTCATAGTTTTCTTAGTGCTTTCGGAGCAAGGAAGACAGGAACAAATAGAGATTCTGTAGTAACCCGCGGTAATTGCTTTCGGGGATTGAACATGAACATTCTCTCACCCATAGCACCCTCTTACCCTCCGTTGACTGTTGAGCCACGTGTTGAACAGCGAGCTTAACAAGTTCATCCAACATTGTCTTCTTTTTCGATTGAATTCTCAAAAAATCACTCACAGCAAATAAGAGGACACTTTCGTGAGTGAAGTCACTGAGCTTCGAAATTAGGATTTTCCATTAGTTTCAATGACCATCATATCGATGACTAAAGTGCAAAACCACTTATCTCCACCCCGTTGTTCCAAAAACTCTGCTTTTACTTTACTTTTTCGAACGGAAATAAGTCAATTGTAAATTTGAAATTTCTACAGAGTATTCTGCTGATACAGCAGATAAACCGAGGAAGTTTTCATGAAATTAAGTCGATAAGTTTTCTCAAGGGAAAATTAAGTTTGACCGGAAGTCTGCAACGTCTTGAATAAAGATACGTGGTTGAGCATTTTAGCCATCGGTATGCACTTGCATAAAAAAATGATCGATCATTGATTGTGTAGAAACTATTGCATACATCAAAGCAGCCGTCGCGTCGTTATCAAACACGTTTTTTTTAATTTTCCATCGTTCAAATATTTTTACTACGTATCATATAAATTATCAGGTGGAATTTTCCTGAAAAATTTAATATGCAACAATCAATGTACGTTTTCCTCGGAATTATCCGTCTTGTTGAGAGGTAATCGTGCTCCTTTCCCCCATCGACTCATCTGCAATTCGACAAAAGTCTAAGCTCGACAGTCCACAAACTTTTGCAATTGTACTTTGAATTCTTCGCTTTATAACATTCATTTTGAATGACAATATAATGCCTACACCCAGGGTGGCAAAATTTCATGAAAAATAAAATCTTGAAATTTCACAAGAAATATTCAATGAAAATTATGAAAGATCTTGAAAAATACCGATTCCTTTTCATGCTCCGCAAAATGTAAAAATTGTGACTTTCTTCTATTTTTGTGTGTTTGACTGCGGGTCGCAATGGTCGCATACTCTAGCCCCTGAAACATATGAAATATTTCACAGCCTCATGAAATTTCATGAAATATTTCACTGAAATTTCCATTTTTTCATTTCTTTCTTACGTTTTATGCCACCTTGCCTATAGCGTTTAGTTTCAAATTCGAGGAGTGAAATTTAGCGCTGGAGTCTATATAGCACCCAAAAACCCCAAGTGATATGAATGTGAAGTGAAATAGCAACATAAACGCGTAAAAAGAGTAGATTCCTCTCCGGCGAAATTCCGGAAAAAAGGTTCCGCTTTGCATTTTCATCACTCGGGGTGCTATACTGCCGTGCTAAGGAAAAACACCTTATGAGCTTTCAGGCGATGCCATGTTTCCTCTGATAAAAACCAAAATTAGTGGGAAAATCGTTAATTTTATTTTCCAAAATTGTTAGAAAATTTAGCACACAATTTAATTTAAAATATCTGAAAATTTCGAAGAAAAATATGCATGAATGTTGTCGAAAATACATGTTTTATCAAGTGAAATTTGGCAACACTCGAATGTTCATACGGCGTTCTCCCTTAGCACAACAGTATACAGACTCTGGCACAGAATTTCACTCCAAAATTTTTAACATCGTACGGAGATCCTCGTGCAAACAGTCCTCATCTCGACGGGAATAGTATAATGTAGGGAATGAAAGGCATACCTGAAAATATTCGCATTGGAGCGGCACCGTTTATCCTTTTGCTATCTCGAAAAAAAGCCGAGCTTTTGTGACATCTCCTAAACACACCTGCGACTCGACGGGCAACCGGTACCCTCTTTCTTATTCCGACGCCAGAACGCACTTTCCTCCACGTGGCGCGAAATGTAACACATCCGAGATTCCCATCGACACGGCACACTACATTTCCTGTGAAGAAATCCCTTAGAAATCCACAAAATTGGCGGAAGCATGGGGGACGAGGGTTCACCTATCCCGCGAAGGAAAAAAGGCTGGTTAGGCTACATCCGTTTCGGGGTGGCTCATGCCCTAGGTCCGGGTTCGCAGTTGGCGCGCACAAACACACGTCGGCACGGGGATGGCAGTCGGTCGTCGGTCGGGCACTGTGGTTGACGATTTCGAGGCAGTAGCGTTCCCGATACCACTAATTAACACCGAACACGATCATGCTAATGACAGTCAGAAAGTAGCCGGCCTATGCGTATGCCGCCGTTCTTCGATTTGGGATTGGTAAGCGCGGGTTTCACCCGAAGCAGGTCACGTCGCACAGTGAGGTGCTTTGGGGTTGGGTGCCGTCTCTCAGTTATGTAACGTAGAATTTGCGCATTATTGACACCCTTACTGCCGTGCTAAGGAGGAACGCCGTATGAACCTTCAGGTGTTGCCAAATTTCTTTTGAAAACACACGCATTGGAAAAAAAAAACACATTGGATCTAGAGTCCAGACTCTTAAAAACATCGACAAGAAAAATTTTGAATCAATCAGAATCTAGCTTAAATCAAGAACCAAGGCTTTTAATTTAAGCGGATTTCGTTTCGATTCAAGCAAAAACCCGGTTGAATCAAGAGTATTTTTTCTTGTCAATGTTTTCAAGAGTCTGGACTCTAGATCCAATGTGTTTTCTTTTCCAGTGCGAATTCCCTGGTGAACTAATGAATATTTCTCTTTCGATTTTTCAGATAATTTTGTTCGCGATGGAGAATTTGCATGCAAATTTGTTATCGACTCATCTGAAAGTGCTTAAAGAGCTGATTTCAAGGTATTTTTTAGGATTTTTTTATAATTTAGGAAATAGTGTAAAAATAGATTTAAAAGTGAGAAAATGCACCGCCTATTTAGATCATTTTATCATATCTTCTCCAATAATTGTTCAACTCATGAACCAAGGGTATCCTCGTGTTTAGTTCACTCAGTAGTTTCCACTTAAACACAAAATTCATCAAATTTTAGACACGTGCAAATTCTCTAATGGAGAATTTCGCGAGCCAAGAGCCGAGAACGAGACCAGATAAAAGGTTCCTCCGGGAGCACGGGGGGACAGCGTGATGCTTGAAGTATTCCTGCAGTTTTGCAGGCGCTTCCCGAGATTGTTCTTCGGGCAATGTTCAAAGTTTTGGAAATTGTCTCCCGGAAGATGAGGTCCTTTTTCACAGATCCGGTCACAATTGCACGTATTCATGCTAATAATTAAATTGCACGAAAACCCTAGGTGAATAGTTTACTAGCTTTGCAAAAAGGAACCACTACTTCTGACCCAGTTTAAAAACAAAATACGTGCCATTGGTTTCCTTATCGAGATATGTGTTTTTATGAAAGAGCCAGAGACAGTGGTTTCTTATTGCAAAATGTAATGCAAATGTAGTCCCTCCGATTGAAAAGGACGATGGCGGGCTAAAGACATAAAATGCAACACTCACACCCATGTATTTCGCCTAAAGTTCCTGAAAATTTCGAGGTAATAAATTCATAACTTTCCTCATAAATAAACATTTTAAAAATGGAAATTTGGCAACTTTCGAATGTTCATACGGCGTTCTTCCTTAGCACGGCAGCTTATCCCCCGGTCCCAGCAAATGGGCTGCTATTAGCGGGAAGGAACCAAACCACATCTGCTATTGCCAGAAACTGGGCAATTTATTTTTTTACAAGAGAACTTTTGTGCGGATTCCTTGAAAAATTTTGAGGAATTTGTTTCGTACTACGCAGAAAATTCATGAAAATCTGCACACAAATTCGCACAACCCTTGTCATGTAAACATTTAAAATAACGCAAAAGTTGAACGGGTTCGTGTACCTAAGATACAGTAGCGGCTCCCATTCTCATTGTTGAAGATCTCTACAGGTTTGACGGGGTCGCTACCGTTCCTAGGAAAATTACCCAAGTAAAGTTGACAATAGCTGATGTGGCTTGGTTCTTATCTGCTGAACGCGGTCCATTTGACGTCACATTCTGAAAAAATTAAACATTTTCAGTCAAATTGAACTTAATTTCAACTTTTTCGGTGCATTGAGCAACTTGGGTCCATGAAGATGCCCTTTGAAATGACGCAGCGCCAATGCAGACGCCGCCAACTCAAATAACGTAACATTTAAAGAAGAAGTCCCCTATTTTACTGAAGAGATTGGTGATGTCATTCGCTGCAGCAGAATGAAAGTATTGCAGTTAAGGAACTAGAAACTTCAAAAGAAAAGTAAACCGCTGAGACTTTTTCCCCCTCCGGTCTTCATTGATTTATGAAAATTGTTGAGGAAAAAACCGGAAAACACTTCGATAATAACTTGCTGCTTTTATTGTTTGGCACTAAACTTCGAGCTCAGGTCATTCATGCTTGACAACTAGGTCTCAAGTTATCGGAATTTCGTGATTTCTCAATCATACACCTTTCTAGTTTCAACTTCCTTTTTTTGGAAAGCTTACTGAACGCCTTACTCGATAAGCTAGCAATTGACCGGGAAGGATACTTGGCGTATTCAGACCGATTTTAGGCCTCAGGAAGTTACATGAAATTCGCAAGAGGAGTAAGTTTCGCGTGCCGTGCGCCTTACGTCAACAAATGTGACGTACCTTTAGTAGACCGCAAAGTTCTAAGCTTTTACGGAGCCCTCCAAGCCCAATGTAAACAGAGAAGATGGCTATAGAGTTCGAGACTTGATAGGAAATTTTAAATTTCCAACCTCTGAAATGGGTTCTAAAAAAACTTTGATCTATTTTCTTACCGCTAATTACTGTGTTCTCGTACATAACATTTAATTGTACATTTACAAAAATAATATTAATTTGTTTAAAGTGCAGAGGCTTTAGCAAGACTGATAGTAACACCCCAATCTCCTTGTAACACCTTCAAAACCAAGCTCCGACCCCTCCTCTCCTCCTGAGTGGTTTAAGGTCCAGTCACACGATCAAATTGAGACATCAAATTGGGCCTCATATCGGTCGCATCCTCACCTCAGGTCTTTTTCAACCAAATCAGAGCTTCGATTTGATGGCTCAATTTGATCGTGTAACTGGACCATTTCGAGATACTTTAACCACCGCTCACCTGACGAATATTCCGTAGTGAAAAGAGGTCTCCTCTACCTTGGACGGTCAAATCGCCACCTTCGGGCCAAAGTATCACAAGCGCCATGCGACGCGACGTTTCAAAATTTCCGCTGCCATTTCATTTTTTCCAGAGGTTTCGTTAGTTGAATCTGTTTGAAAATTTCACTGAATTTTATCGGCAGCACTAAGAAAATGTGAAATTTTTGGACAGCTTCGTTGAACAATTTCTTTGTAAAAAAATAAAATGGCGGCGGAAATTTTTAAACTTCGCACGGCGCTTGCGATACTTTGGCCGGAAGGAGACGACTCATCCAATAATATGCGCGCTGCATTTTCGGAGTCGGAAAAAGACGCTCAGCAGTGGCGTGGCGTGCTTTGTGATGTATCGATTTATCTGCCATTTAAACCTATGGATAAGGATCGATGAACAGGGTGTTTGCAACGAACACCTCAATAATCGATTCTTTTCCATAGCTTCAAATGGGGAAAATCGATAATCGATCATGCACGCTTCACCACTGACGCTCAGTCACACGCCGGGGCTCAACAATTAATAAGTTTTTATCTCTCTCTCTCTCTCTCTCTCTCTCCCCTCCCTCCCCTCTCTCTTCCTCTTATGCGTTTTTCTCTATCGCCGCAATCACACGCTGAATGTGGCTTGAATGTGGAAGTCATCGGCCCGATGCCTGAATATTGCGCGTGTCGCTCAAAATTCAGCAACGATTCTCAGCGACCATCGGATGATGTCGGATTCGTTTGAACTATTCGAATAGATTTGCTACACATCTGAATGAAAATAACTCGAATTTGCGAAATTTCAGCTGTCGAGCGATGACTGTTGACTCCCATATTCAGCCGCTAAATTCAGCGTGTGATTCCGGCATGTCTCTCCGTGATGTACGATGAGAGACTTAAACGTTGCATCTGCGTGCGTTCCACTTACGAGAGTAAACGATGGCGGGCGGTGAATAGCTGCTTGTTGCATTTTTTTCAGAGCTGAAATCGCGTCGACGCGGCTGCCGAGCGTTATTCACGGCTCCGAGTCACCTGCACTCACGTCGCAGTCACTGTCATCCGCCATTCTACCGTGCAGCCTTTCACGATGCATGACGTCATACTCCATTCTCCGGATAACTCATGTCACCTGGGCCTCGCGGTTAAGCCAGGTACAGGGTGTTAACCGGTGGAGAGAAGAGGTTTCATAGGCTGATACCTTAACGTTTTGATACTAACCATCATTATATATATTATTATATAACAAATAGCCCATCGGTCGCCGATCGTCGGTATTAACTAACTAACCAATAAGAATGAATTTATGTATAATATTAATTAATTTTATACATACATTATGCCGCTTTCATAGCGCAGCCTCGCGCTCTGCGACGCCCAATCGCCATTGCCCCCTATCTTCCCAGAGACCATCAGGCAGTTGGCACCTTCTGATATCCTCCTCCACCCCTTAATTAATTTTATACGAAATATAAATGAGAGAATAAGTGTTAATTCTACGTAAAAAAATAGAAACGCAATGATTGTCAAGTAAAAACGTGGTGAGAATGGTAACTGTGGTGATCTTATTACATGTTTTCCGCATTCAAAGGTTTAATATTTCTCTCGATTGTTAGTAGACTTAGTAATCTTCCATCAATCTAAGGGGTTCCAGAGAACTAGCGAACGGCAAGGGGCCAGGATTTTTAATTTCTGAGGTATGAATGTCTCCCAAAATCCGTCAAAAATGAGATTTTTTATTTTTTGAATAAAAATTGGTACTATACATTTTTATTTAAAAATAAAAATCCTGGTTATCGATTTTCCATTTACATTCATCTACCAACGTTACCACAATACTAAACGGCATTGTATCTTCAAGGCTGAGCTTAGTCTCGAGGTTTGTAGAATTTTTCTTTTTCTCTCAACCGCTCAAAGAGCGAATCCTAAAATCTTAATCCTCGAATCACCCTGTATCCCTTGAAACACCCCGAATGAATCATAGAGAAACTCTAAAGATTTTTTTTGAGGAAAATCTGGCCACCTTGAATGTTTTAAACGTCAACCTTGCGTTGAAAAACCCCCTCACGCAACTGGCAAATTACAAAAAAAGAGTACCCCTCGTTCAATCAAAGGAAATCAGTCATCAGGAAATCTCCGGGTATATATAGAAGTTTATCTATTCATACATGTAATAAGGCAGCGATATTTTGATCATCGGTGTTCGTGGTAGTCAGTTTTTCGAAAATGAAATTCAGTGCGCTTGAACTTGCTGTGGTCCAGGTTTTCCTGGTAAGTTAACATTAAGGGTATCTTCAGATCAATTTCATCTGCATGGAGAGAAAAACTTCGACTCATCCGAAGTTTTCAGTCGAAGTACTTACAGCCATAATTGAATCAGTGAGTTCGAAAACACACCAACTCGGTTTATTCCCGATTTTCACTTTTTTCGGTTTAGTAACACTTATGGATAGAAGCACCTGCACGCAAAAGGAAATTTCGAAATTGTAATCGGAAGTGCTCGAAACAGCGACGGGAAAAGGGAAGAATCGAAGTATTTCATTGGAAATACCAATTTTTGGCCATTTCAAGGGAAACGGGTGACCATCCGATTTTGCGGTTTTCTTTTTTCGGTTCAGTATACCTTGTACAAACAAGTTATATAAATATTCAAGCGTTATTCAGGTCGAAAAATATAAATTTTTCAGGGCATACTATGAAAAATCAGTATCTGAAAGTCGGTGAGAACGAAAACACATCAACTCGGGAATTTTTAAACGCTTAACTCTCTGTCATCAAAAATGGTGTTTCAATTTCAACTTGGTGCTTTACAAAGTCTCTAAGTACGTGTCCTTTGGCACCGAAAAGGTTTTTCTTTAACTAACTTCTTCGCCTGCTGCGCAGTTTAAGGTGTTTCCTGAACAATATTTTTTCCCGAGTTGGTGTGTTTTTGAACTCACTGATTCAATATATAGCGTTGTACCCCCCCCCCCCCCCCCNGACTTTAGAACGTAACTAAACTTCGTAACGAACCCTGTCGTCCATATACTTCAATATTTTTCCGGGGTCATTTCAAAGCGTAATTACATCCTTTAGTCAGCCGAGTGACGGAAAATTGGTCATAAGAATCGAACTTCGGTTCAGGTAACCAAAGTTTTTGTTAGACGTGCCGTACCAAGACACGTATCCTTCATAACGCAACTCTTAGATTATCCAAACCAAAGTTCGGTTTCAATGGCTCATAGCCTCAATTACTTGTACCAAAATCTTTGATGGCCTCCTACATTTTGCTTGGACTCTCCGTTGACTTGCTCACTTAACACACATTATTTTATTCGCAAATATTACGTTTCTTGTAGCGGCAAAAGTTCTCGCATGTGTCTGGGATTTGCGTTTTGAGTACTTCCTCATATGTAAAATTTTTCAAGAAACACGATGGTGCCACTAAGTTTTTCTGAAATCAACTCCCAAGCTCTGAAAAAAACTCTGAAAGTTCAAGCTGTAATAAAGGGGGTATCTCACGCTATGTTGGGAGTCTACTTCTATATCTAGTCAAACTCTCCACGCACATTACACATATAATAGGGAGAAAATACACGAGCTTGTTACATACATTCACTTTGTTTGATGAATCCAAAGTTGGGACCACGGCAACCGCGCTAAGTATTTGCTCCCTTTGCGGACGTGGAGTTTGACTAGATGTAGAGACGGACTCTAAACTTAGCACCGTAGCGTTAGGTATCTCTTATCGCCTGCTTTTGGAGAGCTTATTTTGATTGGGGAGTCGATTTCAGAGAAAACTAGTGGCTTGATCGTGTTTCTCGCGAAATTTTACCTGAGAAAAAGTACTTGAATTGCAAGTTCCTGCCATATGCAAGAACTCTATTTCCGTTTATGTTCACTGCGTGAGGCTCAGATATTGACAAACGTTGATAGTTTGACCGTACTGCGAAATTTTACACACAAAGATTGAACACTCGAAATGGATATCGTGTAATCACAGGATAAAATAATATGAACATAGGATCGGGCTATAACAAAAAAATAAGTCAACAAATGACATCCGACGAAGTGAAAAAACCATAGTTTAGCTAATAACCTGCGGACCGATTGTTGAAATTGATAGAAAAAGCAGTAGGCAAAGAGGACAAAACTAATATGGAGGGATCCTATTCTGCCGTGCTAATGAAAAACGTCGTATGAGCCTTCAGAAGATGCCATATTTCCTTTAACAAAAAACGAATTTACAGGAAAAAACTGTGACTGTTTTTCTTCAAAATTTTCAGATAATTTTATTCGCAATTTAATCTAAAATGTCCGAAAATTTCAAAGCAAAGTATACATAACTTTCCTCAGAAATACGTGTTTTATCCGGGAAAATTTGGCATTTCTCGAATGTTCATACGGCGTTTTTCCTTAACACGGCAGTATTGGTGGAAGCGGGTGGTTGCAATGGACAAAGGAGGTAATAGACCAACTAACGGCGAACCACGAGAGACCTTGCAGTTAGACCATCATTTTCCCCCTCAGTCTATAAGAACCACCCGTTTCAACCAATAGGCTCGCTCCATACTCCCTACGTCTTCGTTGTCTATCTTTTCACCTATCAATTTAAACAATCAGCTTGCAGAACTATTTTTAATTTTGTCTTAGGCTTGCACAGCGTCGTGCGGTCTACCATACTTGTCTCCAAGCCTGCGGAACCTGCTCACCGACTCCAACTCGATGCAGGCACCGGCAGATCAACCTCAGCTCTCCTTCGGCACCTTCCGGGGACCCGGCTCCTCGCAGGACTCCGAGAAAGCCCAACCTTTCAACACCCTCACTGCCGGCAACGTGGGAACCGGGTCGGCCACCGTGAGCCAACCCGGCCAGGCTGACGTCACCATCGAGAAACCGAAACCCTACGCCTGGAACAAACCCTCCCCGTCCATGGTCTTCGGCGGCAACGAGAAACTCCCCCCTTTGAACTTTGGCGGGGGAGCTGCACCGGCGAAACCGTCCTGGAAGTCACCTTACGGCGGGGCTTGCTCCAAGACACCCTCCTCCCCCCCGATGCCCGGCGGTGGCCTTGGTCTCGGGGGTCCGCTCAAATACACGACCTTTGACATCCCGGGCGGTAAAGCTACGGTCGCCTCCAACTCGCACCCTCTCCTGATGTCGGTCCTCAAGAATATGGGCAAAGAGCACGCTGCTAGTGATATTAAAGAAGGTGATCCGACGGAAGCGTTAGGGCCTCTCAGAGCTAGTCTTCTTTCGGGTGGTGGCTCGCCCTATGGAGGCGGATCGGGCGGTAATACCAAGTCGATCTTCGGGTCACCAGGAGGTGGATTGGGAGGTCTTGGTGGTTTGAGAGGCTTTGGTGGGTTGGGGGGTCTCGGTGGTTACGGGTCTCCTCGCGGTGGTTTCGGGCGTTTGGGTGGTTATCGGGGCTTTTGAGTTTACTGCGCAATGACTGGAGAAGTGGAGCATCAATAAGAACTGAAATGTAACGGGTTTTTTATATATTACGTAGCTGTAATGCATCTAGCTGTATACGTAGCTGAAATATATTTTAAAACTAAGCATTATCGTTGTGATGCTGTCCCTAGGGAATGAAAGAGGTGGGCAGCATTTCACTGATTTTGAAAAGGACGTGTTTAAGTCAAAAACTGTATTGAGTGTTCTGGCTCATTAATATTTGGCTCGAGGCTGGAAACTTAGTTTTTATTTCAACAGTTTTTGTAAAGGTTGCTTTGAAACAAATTTAGTTAAAGTGATACCTCAATTTTTGAATTCCAAAAAATTCATGTAATATCTTCTTCCGTCAGATGTCTCAATGGCAGCATTGATCATGAACAGTGTTTTGCTTTTGAGAATAAAGAGGATTGAATTTCAGTTATGCTCGGAAGTTGTTTCATAGGGTCTAGAGGGACTTAAGTTTAGATTTCGTCAAAAACCTCTATAAAGCCTCTACCAGAAATTCATGATTACTTATACAAATTTCTCAAACAACGGTACTAGCGTAACTGTAAATCACACAAATGATTTGAACAGCCGATGAAGTTTTTACAGTTTGCTGTGATTCATTGTCAAAATATTATAGTTTTGTGATTGAATGAATATAACAATAAAAAGATAATTGTACACGAATTGTTTGTGATGAACTCCGAGGATCATTTTAAATCCTTCAACAATTTTCATCTGAAATTTTAGTATTTTGTTTGGGATGTTTTTAAACTCCCATCTAAATAAAAACCTACCGATTCCGGTAACGTTTCTTTAGCAGACTCAACTTAAGATTTTACCTATGGAGACTCGGCTACACGTGCCCATATTTTTCCTCCTGCGCCTTAATTTCACCACGCAGGCAACAAAACATCCTGCGTGCTACAATAGTTACCTATCTATTCGAAGTTGATTTGGTCCCCTTTGATTTAGTTTAGTCCAAACGTTGAAGTAGTGCCAAAACGGTCGACTAAAATCTCCAGAGCCACCTCAATACTGCCGTGCTAAGGAAGAACGCCGTCTGAACGTTCGAGAGTTAAAATAATAGTAATAATAGTAATTCGATTAATAGTAATTTGAAGTACCTATAAATCATTTTAATCACGCATGATTAACGCAAAATGAAAGAATATCTATAGTGAGTAAAGGAAGGGGTAACTAGCACCTTATAGGCCTTTAAGTTTATAGGCCCGTTTATAGGTCGTTCTTGCACCCATCGATCCAGAGGCCTCACTTAACTCGGAGAAAAAAAGGTTTTTCGACCTCGAGCCGTTACCTATCTGTATGCTATCGCTACCACAGCATAGTCCAGGGTACGTAGAATCCGAAAAGCAGATGGGCGTAATAACGACCTATACGCCTATAGGCTGTTCTTGGTGCGGTGTCCTCAATTTAAGAATATTTTCTCTTGAAATTTTCAGCTGTTTTAGATTAAATTGCGTACAAAGTTGTCTGAAAATTTTGGGAAAAAATAATTACAATTTTCCCAGTTTGAATTCGGATTTTATCGAAGGAAATTCAGCAACGTCTGAAGGCTCATATGGCGTTCTTCTTCAGCACGGTAGAATAGGTAGCATAAATAGTAGTTCCTTATTGCAGAATGTAGTCCAGTTATGTCTCGGGAGAATGACGTCATTTCGAATGAATCAATAATAAAGGCTGGATCCCCGGACGTCCTTGAAGCGGGGGTTCCTTCAGCCGTCCTGAGTCCACTAGTGGTTCCTGGAACCTTTACGATCGGCGCTCATCCAGGGCTTAAAAGATGAGAGATCGGAGTAATTACTTAAAAATTGTTACGTCTAATGCCCCCTCTTCCTGGCGGCCCTCTCGGAGGGATCCACTTCCAATTGGGCTCCGCTCCCAAAATGACGAGTGAGCGCAATAAAATTGTTTTAAACGTTATAAAACTCCCATAAACGGGCGCAATAAAATATCTGAAAAATGTGCTACGTGTTTATAGCATGTGCTACGGGAGATTTATCCAGCTCGTGCCAGGCCCGCGGCGTTGCGAGCGCGACCCTGGCGCTGCCGCGCGGGCAACGGCGGATCCCGGAACTAGGGGGTGATTTGTCGGCGGGGCCGCTGCAACTCCTCCGGCGAAGGCTCCGTTTTCATTAAGAACTAATTCCGATGGAATCGTTTTCAGTTTGATTGCGATTCTCCGGACGATGTTGCCGCTGCTAGGGATGGCCCGAGGATCCATAAATTTCAAAGCTCGGAGGATTGCTCTAAGCTCCTCAAGACACGCCCCTCCCTCCTAGATATCTACATAACCTCCATGGACACGTTACGGATTTCCAGAGATATAGACCCGCCACTGGCCTCTTGGCGATAGGTGGAGACGTTTAGTTTTGGCACTCAACACTTCCTCATGGACAATGGAGATGTTGCATGTGTGAGGAATTTGCGATTTGACTATTGATTCTTTCGTAAAAGTTCGCGAGAAACACGATAGCGCCACTTCATAGGCCACTTGATAGGCCCCGGCCCATGGCGGCAAATCTAGAGGGCGGCAAAAATTTGCAATTTTTTAAAGTGTAGGTATAAAAAAAAAAAAAATCGGATTTATAAAAACAAAATTACAAACGAGAAAAGGCGACAAAATCTTTCCTTTCCTGAGGGTATAGTAGTTTCTAATTTTGTCGTCTCTTAGTGATACAAGAGACAGCACCCTCAATAAGTCGAGTTAAGAGAGAGGCCAAACACGCAATTTGGCCTGGAGCGGCGCGACTTACAGAGAAATGATAACGAGGACTTAAGATGAAAAGGAGAAGCCCTCGGCGCGGCGATCGGCATGTAACACGTATTAGCGCCTACAAGACTGCACGAATACTTCACGCATTGCATCAAACACAGTGCGGTTATTGCGGTCAGCGTGAAACGGATAGCGCCTACAAGAATGCATGAATACTTCACGCATTGCGTCGCAGTGCGGTCTGCGCGGCGCGGCGGCGGAAGTTAAAATCATTGAACCACATTTACGTTTGTTCTTTCATAATTTTTTCGTTCTTTTCTTATGAATGGAAGGCCTTGTCCACACAGAGATATAGGTTTACGGAACGTAACTTTCGCGCAAAGTTTCGTGAACTCTTGCTAGTAGCGTTGACAGGGCTTTTCCAAAAAATGTGTACAGCACGAGTAAATGCGTCTTATGCACCCCTCTCCCGCTGGCACGTTCATTTGATGGTTTTTATCGAGTTTCAATACGAATAAGAAGAGGGAGGCAAAATATAGGCGGCCCATGGACGGCAAGTAGGTGAATCCGGCCCAGATCACGTAACCCGCAAGGTTTTATAAATTGTATTGGTTTACGTGTTGATATTTTTGAGTTTCATTAAAAATCTCGAGAAATATTTTTCAGAGGTCGGCCAGTGCGGGACATTCGTCGGATTCGTATGGATTGCAGCTAAAATCTGCCAGTTGACATAATTTTCAGACTTTAAAGTGGCAAGTCCGCGAGCTAGCTGTCCAGCTCACGGAATGGGCAAAAACATAGGTTACTAGGTTAGTCTGCGGACTAGGAAATTTTGCTACCGGGGCGCAACTCATATAAAGCATATCGACGGTGTAAGTCGGCAATCACATAACTCGGTTTGTGACGTCGCAGACTTCCTGTCACACTTTATTTTTTAAACGGAAAACTACTCGATGGCAATTCTTTAAAACTGCTTTGATTTTTCTTCTCTTTGCGAAGAAAATTTTGTAAAAACTTCAAGGAATTATGTCAATTTGTTCGCCTTTAAAAAAATAACATCGAAGCGGAGATTTTCAGACACCGCAAACGAGTTATGTGATTGCCGACTTACACCGTCGATACATAAAACATATGTATGTATATCGTAGGCAATTAGCAATCGCCAGCAATTTGCAAGCGGTTTACACGTCGTTTCAATAAATCGCAATAATGCGCATCGGCATAATGCAATTTTTAAGAGTCATGATCTTCAAAAGTATGAGCTCGGCTTGAAGTGCCTTTATTTTTTGTGATAATCTACCCTTCGTCACGATGTTAGTTTAGTTGTTTGTTCGATCTCCACCCAACTAATGTCATGGAGTTCCCTACACGCATCTCTGAGTGTGTATCTGCCATGTTTTTAAGGATGGAAAAGTTTTTTTCACACTATAGGCAACATAATCAGCACTCTAATCTTGTTCTTTTATTTTTGAATTTTATGATTCTCTATATTTATTCACGACTGGCTTATAAATTACCGGCGATTGCTAATTGCCTGCGAAATATACGAAACATATATATAATCAAATTTCCGTTTTTTCGAGAAAAACACCTGATTGAAAATATCTATTTAATAAAAAAATTTAGAATTCCAAAATTTTACGTTGATGGGAAGGGCCCATCCAGTGATTCCCAAAGTAAATTATCAGTGTCTCAGTGTCGTCTTCTTACCGCGAAGATGATCAAAATTTTCTGTAAGTAGGTCGCAAGCTGATAGCCCCTCACAAAGAGCCTGGATCATTTCTTGACTTTTCCTCTTCTTCACCTAACTTTTCTCATCCTTCATTGTTTCCCCATGGATCGCTGAACAATGAAAGAGACGTAGAAACTATAAGTTTTGAAGTTATACTCTTCTGCGGTTTTGTAGGACTTTCTTCCGAAGGAATTGATTCCTGAATCCTCACCGAGAAGTTTGACAAAAGTTTATTAAAATCCGCGCGGCATCAATTTACGTCACGATTAAAGGTCGGAAAGTTTCGACGAGAGAAGAAAATCGACATCCTTTAAAAGTGACTGAATTAATTATGCAGGACGAGCATAAAACCTGGAGTGGATCCAGAAGCTTTAATTATCCGCTAGAAGAGAGGGATGGAGCTGTACAGAATGTCAAAGATGCGCTCTACGAGGTGAAAGGATTTTACGTTATTTTTCATCCTACATGTATCAGTGTGTGTGTCATTGTGCGGAATGCTAATTCTTACAGCAGTTCAAAGGATCAGCTCCAATTCATTCGGGCGTATTTCTGCCAAACGGAACTATGCACATTATGACGTGAGCCCTGTTATGCATGCATGCTTATGGGTCTCATGGCTCATTTCTTCATGCACATAGTTCCATTTGGCAGACATACATCCATTTGGAGGGACAAAGTCGGAACAAGAGGGACCCAGGCTTTGTCTTTCTCTGAATCAATTAAACTTATCGTCAATGATCCGATTATAACTCTTCAGTCCTTCTTTGATGAGCGTATTCTGTAGAGCACCCTCAGATATTTTCCATACGTTGTTTTTGTAGCCTGCGAATCAATATGTGTCACTTTTTTTGGTGCCGGATTAATGATTATTTTATATTTAGTGCGAGATCAATGGACCACTAGACAAAGAACGAAGTTAAGCATTCTGATACATGTTTCGTAACCAAAATTTCGTGTAGAACACGATTTGCGCAACGAGAATTACTGGAACTAACTCCTGAACGAGATATCCAATGTTTCTTGACACATGATTTCAATCCCCCGCGCATGAAAACACAATAGTCTACGTGAGTTAAATCGCACACTAAACGTTACCATGGCATTTTCTGCGATCCGAAAATATGGCAACCTCAATCTTTACTCACAAAATTGATCTCTGAAGTGTGGCGCATTAACCTTGGGACACCCTGTATAAAACAATCGATTCCCGCTGAGGCT